AAAATGGCTAAATGCATACATTTTTTCAAGATACTTTATTGTTTTGTTTTCAGTACCTTAAAATCTGCTTGTTCATTTAAATAAAAAAGATAAAAAATTAACTCCTGACTCTCCCTGACTGCCTCTCTTTGACTGCTTTTTCTACCCATCCAATGGCTGTAAGGTGTTTTGAGTATGATGTTCTCAAAAATCATGAGAAGTGACACTTTGTTTGACATGTCTCTCCCTTTAAAGTAAGGTCTTACCCTGATAGGATGAAAGGATTCCAAAAAGTGTTCCTTTTTTATTGCTAGCAGTGGAGCTGAAATCCATGACCATATCCCAATTTCAATGACTCTGCCAGCTAGCTCTGCCTGACCCTATATTTGTGGTAGTCAAATGTTTTCTCTCTGTCCTCTCCAACACTCCCTCTGAGTGGCCTCATTTGGGTTTGGAGTTTGTTTTATAATATTTAAAAGGCAGCCTTTTATTGGACAGTCACTCATCAAGCAATTGAGGTGTGGGAATCAATGAGAGAGAATTCCAGGTCCACATAGTGGAGTTCAAGATCCTTAGGGCAGTGAGGAGAGTGCACAGCAAGCTCCCTACCCTGGACTTAGAGAGCAGACTTTGGCCTCTTCAGGGAGCTGCTTGGCAGAGTACCATGGGATACAGCCCTGGAGGGAAGAGGGCCCCAAAATAGCTGTATTCAGTATTCAAGTTTCACCTTCTCCAAGCTCAGGAGCGATGCATCCCAACGAAGAGGAAGTTGGGCAAAAATTCCAGGAGGCCTGTGCGGATGAACAAGGAGCTCCTGGACAAACTCAAACAAAAAAAAGGAAACCTACAGAGGGTGGAAAGAAGGACAGGTGGCCTGGGAGGAATACAGAGAAATCATCTGAGCAACCAGGAATCGGATCAGGAAAGCCAAGGCCCTGGTAGAATTAAACGTGGCCAGGGACATCAAGGGCAACAAGAAAAGCTTCTATATGTATGTTGGTGACAAAAGGAAGACTAGGGATAATATAGGCCCTCTCCTGAAGGAAGTAGGAGACTTGGTTACCTGGGATATGGAGGAGGCTGAGGTACTCAATGACACTTTTGCCTCAGCCTTCACTGGGAAGTGCTCCAGCCACACTGCCCAAGGCGAAGACAGCAAATACAGAGGCTGGCAGAATGAATAACTGCCCACTGTAGGAGAAGATCAGGTTCGATACCAACTAAGGAACCTGAAGGTGCAGAAGTCCAGGGGACCTGATGAGATGCATCTGTGGGTCCTGAGGGAACTGGCAGATGAAATTGCTAAGGCACTATCCATCATATTTGAGAAGTCAAGGCAGACCGGTGAAGGTCCTGCTGACTGGAAAAGAGGAAACATAACATCCATATTTAAAAAGGGAAAGAAGGAAGACACAGGGAATTACAGGCCAGTCAGTCTCACCTCTGTGCCCAGCAAGATCATGGAGTGGATCCTCCTGGAAACTATGCTGTGGCACAAGGGAAATAAGGAGGTATTGATGGCAGCCAGCATGGCTTCACTAAGGGCAAATCATGCCTGACAAATTTGGTGGCCTTCTATGGTGGAGTTACAGCAATGGTGGATAAGGGAAAAGCAACCGGCATCATCTTCCTGGGCTTGTGTAAGGCATTCGACACTGTCCTTGTCTCTAAACTGGAGAGACATGGATTTGACAGATGGACCACTCGGTGGCTCAGGAGTTGGCTGGATGGTCACACCCAAATAGTCACAGTCAACAGCTTGATGTCCAAGTGGAGACCAGTGATGAGTGACGTTCCTCAGAAGTCGGTGTCAGGGCCGTTTAACAGCTTTGCAGTGACATGGACAGTGGGATCAAGGGCACCCTCAGCAAGTTTGCCAATGACACCAGGCTGAGTGGTGCAGTCAACACACCTGAGGGAAGGGATGTCATCCAGAGGGACCTTGACAGGCTGGAGGGGTGGGCCCATGGAAACCTTATGGAGTTCAACAAGGCCAAGTGCAAGGTGCTGCAGCTGGGTTGGTGCAATCGCAAGCCCAGATGCGGGCTTGGTGTGGGTGGATGAAAAACTGAATATGAGCCAACAGTGTGCACTTGCAGCCCAGAAAGCCAATCGCATCCTGGGCTGCATCAAAAGAAGCATGGCCAGCAGGTCGAGGGAGGGGATTCTCCCCCTCTACTCTGCCCTGGTGAGACCCCGCCTGCAGTACTGTGTTCATCTCTGGAGTCCTCAGCACAAGAAAGACATGGACCTGCTTGAGTGGGTCCAGAGGAGCGCCACAAAGATGGTCAGGGAGCTGCAGCACCTTCCCTATGAGGACAGGCTGAGAGAGCTGGGGTTGTTCAGCCTGGAGAAGAGAAGGCTCTGGGGAGACCTTCTAGTGGCCTTCCAGTACTTAAAGGGGGCCTAGAGGGAAGGTGGGGAGGGATTCTTGATCAGGGAGTGTAGTGACAGGATGAGGGGTAATGGTTTCAAACTGAAGGAGGGTAAATTTAGATTAGATATTTGGAAGAAATTCTTTCCTGCGAGGGTGTTGAGACACTGGAAGAGGTTGCCCAGAGAAGCTGAGGCTGCCCCCTCCCTGGTAATGTTCAAGGCCAGGTTGGATGGGGCTTTGAGCAACCTGGTGTAGTGGGAAGTGTCCCTGCCCATGACAGGGGGGTTGGAACTAGGTGATCTTTAAGGTCCCTTCCAACCCAAACCATTCTATGGTATCTGACAAGTGTTTCAAGTCCAGTCAGGCTGTTAATTCAAGTTTCTCTTATGCCCTTTGGGTTGTCCAAATGGAGTTGAAAGTATGCTGGTTTTGGAAAGGACTGAGTGCTAGTTGTGAATTGAACAGCTCTTCCTATGTTTTTGATACATTTTTCTTTTTGGATTTCAGGAATGGCTTCTTTAGTTACCAATACACATTTCTTGTAGTTCTGTGCATTTCAGACTACGCTGTAATACATGACAGCATCTTAAGTAATGGTGTAGCTCTAGTCCATGCTTTATAAAATATTTCAGGACATATTTCCTGTCCATCATCAAAAGCGGAATATAGAATATAATTTTATTTGCATGATGAATGATCTCTGAATTTTCTACTTTGCACAGATTTTGTGCAGCTACTAGGTGCAGTTGCCAAAGTTGTGACAATAGAGTTTCAGTCTCTGTAATGGATGCTTAAATAGTCCTGACTTTGTTAGGGGTGAAGTAAGTCTTGGCTGCTGAGAGAACAAGAAGGCAGTGATTGGACTTGTGTACTGATGTTTCCAATGGAAGAGATGTTCATCAAGCTTGCGTAAGGAGGATTGTGGAACAAGTTTATAAAATTTAAATGTGTTATTACAAGCATCCTCTAAAATGTGCTGGAGATTTTCTCATGTCGGCCAGTGGTAAGTGCTATACGCACCAGCTTAAATTTCAGCAGCTAGAATATTTAAAGTCTGGTATCATTCCAACCGAACAAAAATATCTACTGAAAGAAATTAGGCTTGCAGAACGACAAAGTCACAGATATAATGAGGACAGGGGAACCGTGTCAAACAAAATATGAAAGTGGACTGTGCGGAACCATTTCCCTGTCTTCTGGGGTCCTGTGTCTGCTGTGTTTCAGGAACTTTCATACCTAACTGTGCTTACTGGTGAAGGATGAGCGAGTGGGTGGCGGTTCTACATATGCTGCTTTGGACATGCAATTTGACCTGGATTTTTGATCGTATCTTTAATCAACAGTATGTAAAGATTCTTCAGACTAAGTTGGACTTAAGGAATTTGCACTAAAGAGATACTGAACTTCACAAAACCAGCCTACAGAACCCCTCCATCACCCACAGAGCCTCCATATGTGGAGCAATAAAGAGCAATAATTATCTTTGACAGAACTGCAGGTTATTAAACGTCGCCAGGGCTGTGAGAGTCCTGTCGTTGCATAAGAACTGGCACAGTGTCTGGACAGGGAGAATCACAGACTTTCACCAGCTCATCTATTCCTTTATGTTTTTCAATATGACATCAAGAAGTTGTCACAAAGATGCTGTGCTGAAGGGGACAAATTGAATCCTTTTTAAAGACTGGCTGCAAAGGGCCTGAGACATAGCCCCAGGAGCTCTGGCAAGCTTCGAAGAATTTTATGTGGCCTTCAGCCTGACATCCATTAAGTGGAAACTCTGTTTGAAGGAGCTTATGTTGTGCAGTGAACTCAATTGGCCTTTCTCACTTAAGTACCGGAGTACAATATTTGCTGTGGCTTTGTAGAATCTGTGAGATAAGTATAAACTGACGTCAGTGAATAAAGCTAGAAGGCATGTTTATGCTGTTTAACTATGGACACACATATAAGTGCATTCCTTCTTGAAAAGAATAAATTTTGAGTCAAATTTTAAGAGGTAAAGCTTTTATTTTTAAAATCTGTTGCCTTTGTTCAGCTTAACTACTAAGTGTAAATGTTTTCACTCCTAAAATACTTCCTTCACATTTTAAAAAGGTGTTGAAGGAATTTAATAACTTTCCCTGAACTTATTTCTTGCTTTTTTAAACCAACGAAGACTGTTTTGGCTCAATGTATGACAACTTACTGTCTATATGGAAAGAATCCAATGCAAGTTCTGCATTCAGTGAGCTGTCTTTTCATAATTGCATTCTCTTTGGTTGACTTGCTCACAGAGCCAGACCCCACTATTTGCAACAGTGCCCTACCGATGTTTGAGGGCCCTCAGTGCAAGGTACTGGGTAGTTGTATAGACAAAGTAACTTAAGGTTGTAAAGACTGGATTCCTTTACCTAGTGTGATTGAGTGATTAGTTTGTGGTTAAGATGGAAAAAAAGAGCTGGGACTATGTAAAACGGAATGTGTGTGAGAGGAGTGATTGCACAAACATGTTTTCCCTTTCTTATATCTTATAGCAGATATATTCCTTTGGTATGAAGGTGGCAGATATTGGGGAAAAGGGTATTTATATATATTGGGGTGGTAAAGATCTCTCTTGGACATTAGGAGGTATTTATATCCCATACCTTAAATATAAACTTCCTAGCTTTCCCAGAATGATAGGTTTTTAGATTTTTTAGTATAAAAATTACATATGAAGAAAGGTCTGATGAACTTTACTAAGGGCTTAAAGGACCTTTTGGATGAACTTGGCCTACTTGGGCAATATGGTGAGCAGAACTCTAAAGTAGGCTTTGTGTAAGAGATTTTTATTCTTTATATTGTGATTAATTTATACTTCTCCAGGGGAAGTGAGAGATCTGCATATTTTGACTAGAGCTGTGTCCAGCAAAATACTTCTTTACAAGCTGTACTCTTTAACAGCTGAAAGGTCAAGGTCAAATGCATGACAAAGCAAGCCAAGAAAGGACATCAGTGGAGCAAAGTTCTCTGATTCTTTCCTGTGACAAGAGGTAGAGCCTGGCCAGCAGCTGCTTGTGAGCTACTCTGATGTTCGCACCAGGTATTGCATGAAATTAGCACAGGAAGCACTCGTGCACACCCAGCCGCAGAGTTCAGTAGGGCACGTGCCTATCTTGCTGTATGTGCACTCTTCATGCTATTCAGGAAATGGATGTCACTTTTCTCAATCCAGCGCTGTGAGATTTAGGTGAAAAGTTGACAGGTATATTTATGTTTTCTTATGAATCTCTTCTAGATTTTAGTTGAGGTCGTCTCAGTCTATTAGTTGTTCATTCTGTCAACATAGTAAGTTGGAATAATAATTTTCTTCTCTCCAATGCATTTAAATTTATAAACTTGATTTTTAGAACCTTATTAAATAATGTTTGCAAAAAAAAGTAACTTCTTCCTTTTGTTTTTGTTTTATTTGTTTTTCTCTCTCCTGGCAGTGTTTTAGAGCACTTTGCTGCAAGGGACCGCCACCACCACGACCTGAATATGACTTGGTTTGCATAGGCCTCACTGGTTCTGGCAAGACAAGTCTTCTGTCTCAGCTTTGCAGTGAAAGCCCTGAGAATATAGTGTCTACCACAGGTAGGATGCTGCCTTTATTCCATGGTGTGCTATAACATTGCCCAAAGGCAACTTTTGAAACATCTAGCAAAGGTAGCAGAGAACTTCGGCTTAGTTATCTTGCTTTTGAAAGTACCTAATGGATTTCTTTGAAGCTACCACTGCTTATTCTTTCAGCGTTTGGTCATACATTGGGGAGTATCCATGAAAACATACAATTTGGAATGTGTTGAAAGTCAGAACGTACACTGATGTAGTGAAGTAGAACCATTGGAAACATACAGTAGCAGTGTAGTGTAAACACACATTAAAAGGTTTCTTCCTTCTCTTTTTGGTTTTGTTTTTTTAAGCAGTCTTGTTTTATGGACAGAAAAGAGAAGAATGTCCTATAAAATAGAATGGGTCAGTGATGCTCTGAAACTTAAGTTGGGATTTATTTCTTCACATGCTTGGTCAGTACTGCCTTGAGGTATATGCTAGCAACAGAAAGAATAAATGATGGAAATGTTTATTTCTGGTGATAATCCTTTCTTTTTAGATCAGCAAAGTGACTTGTTTGTGTAGTAAGGGCAGATTGAGATCAGAGAATCAATTTACAAAGCGTTTCAGTGGCGTTGAGAAGATACATAGCAACAAACATGACAACCACAGCTAAAAGGTATCTTAAGTCCAAAATATTTGAATAGGCATACTGATATAGATGAACCAGAATGCCTTATACTGAAAAGGGTATTTTGGTTAAAAAAAAACAAAACAGCACTAGAAAAAACAAAAACAAACATGTGGAGTGAGAAAAAGGAATACCTGGCTGCAGAGTTCAGAAAGAGGACAGATTAGGTCATAGAGGTGGAAGAAATGTGGTTCTGTGGCCACAGCGATTTACTAAGGTTGATTTGCTGAGGGAACACATAGCATTGTGTGAGTAACTTGTGCCTATAGTTATGTGGCTTTGTATTCTAGCTGTGGTTCATGGGCTTGAATTTTATGATTGTCCATTAGTAACACTAACTGGTTTTCAGTTATCTTTGTTTAAATTACAGGAACATAAGATTATTTAATACAACTGTAAGTAAACAAAGTAAAACAGGTACAAGAAAATACTGAGGTTTTTTTCTGCAATGAATAATTAACACACTTCTTCACAGTGGTGTTACTGGGAAAGTTAAAGAGATCTGACACTTCATTGTGTGGAGAAGGTATCAATGCCTAACTCAGAAAGTGAGAAGGAAATTGTAGAGTAATTCAGCTTTATTTTTTTTTTCCTCTTTTTTTCCCGTCTCTCCTGAGCTTTATCTTTAGAGTTCACCTGAAATTAGTGCAAATTATACTTTGACACTTTAGATCTTGAAAGAAATAGTAACAGCGATGTAAATAGCGGTATAGATCTATCAAAGGAAATAATGAAAATATGATTAATTTTAAAGTTAAATTTCAGACCTGTTTCTAGATACTTGCAACAAAATACCATTATTTATTTAGGCAACTTGAGGAGGGAGAATAAACTGTGGAGAAAAATAGGCAGCATGCAAACCAAAATGATGCATAACTAGGCTATTCAGCTTATAATAAATCTACCCTTATGTACCATACCTATGCTGTATCAGAAAATACTGTTGAGAATCCAAGAATACAATGTGATAACTTCTCCACTCAGTTTTCAAACTATAACCTACATTTTTGCTTTTCTCATCAGCGCCACTCAGGTCCATTCCAGTTTTTCCTCCTTTCTAGGAAGAGTTTAGGATCTGTTTTAAGACAACAACAACAACAATATTTAGTAATTATTCCCTTGAGATTTTCTTGCATTTTCCTATGCTGCATCTAGCACTGACTGTGTTTGGAGTACTGGAATATCTTATTGGTCTGATCTGGGAGAAGAAACACCTTGTTTCTGTTAAATGATAGCTAATAAACTTGGAGTGAAACAATTGTTTCAAAACTTCTTTACTCGATTCCAGGTATATAATGATGTTGAAACTACTTGTGCTAGATGGAAATACATTCAATATCTATCTGGACGCTTTATGCTGAAACAGCAGGCATAATTTTTCCTGTATAAAGTATTAGATACACTTACATGTGTGTATGCACTAAACATGCAGAATTTAGTATATAATGTATTGATGGATTGCTAGCAGACTTTCGCATTCCTTTTCTCTTGGCTGTCTGAATTTTCAATTAAGGAAAAACATCACACATTTAGTTCTAAGCATATAACAAACTAATAGAGGTTTCATAGGTGCTTCTAGTGTGCTTGTCACCATTTTAAAACATACCGCTTAGGTCTATAAAAGAATCTTTCTGTTAATAAGAATTATAGACAGGATTAATGCTGCAGGTGTAACTAAAACCTGTGAAGTTTAAACGTAAGAAAACAGTTATTTGAATTGCATGTTGTCTTCCATGTCTCCTAAAATTGCAGAAGGTTTACTGTTTGCATAGTATTACTGTTAGTCTGAAATCTAAACTTTGTTTCCTGATGTATTAAAAGATTATTCTATAAAGGTATATTCTGTACTAACTCATTACCAAATGGTAGGTGGCCTGGATGGAAGTTTTGTGCTGAATTTTGTGTGTGCCAGCTATTTAATTTCATTGCTCATGCAGATTTATCAACCCCTGCCCCCCAAGTGATATTTTAAAACACCATATTGAAACAGAATTTCACATGCAAAATCCTGGTTCTTGATCTAAAATGTAGTCTTTTCTGCCTGTGTGCGATTGATTTCAAATGGCGTCTTTAACAAATAACTTATTAATATTCTTTTATTTCTGTTCTTAGGTTTTAGTATTAAAGCAGTGCCATTCCAGAATGCCATCCTGAATGTAAAAGAACTTGGAGGTAAAGCATTTATTCATTGGATTATAAAAACATACAGTGTCTAAATCTCATCGTAGTGAACTGTTAGTTGTTTTAAATTTAGAAACTATAAATCAGTGTGGCTGGAATTTAAAAGCTGTGTTTCACCACAGCAGAGAAGATTGAGAAAAATTGTACAAATGCTGACTGCAAAGAATGAAAAATAAAAAGCAGGAGGAGTGGAAGGCAAATAACTGGTTTATCTGCTTAATGTATTTCTTGAATTGCAATTGGTTGAGTTACACAGAAATACAAACTGGACTGTAATTGTAGTATGGCTTAGGTGGCAGTTCAAGGAAATGTGTTCCCTGTGTTTATTGTACTTACAAGCTTTTACTTCTGAGCACTGGCTAAGGTAACTGTGAACTTTTGGCAAAACCAGTAGATGTGCTGCACCAAAGTGTTGCAAAGGCAGCCAACTTCCAATGAGTTACATTTTTTGAGATCTATTAATTTGTTGGATTTGTTAGGCTTTGGAGGGATGGTTATTTTGTGGTTGTATATTTTTTTGATTGTCTGTATACAGGTAAGCTGTTTGGCTGCCCAATTCTGACCCTGAGTCTTAAGTGATCAAGAGGTAGCTCTGTTAAAAGGAAGAAAAAACTCTGTTAATGAGAGTTCTTTTGAAGTCTAATTTCATGTAAGGTACTTCTAATTAAAAGTACATGTAGATCTTCTTTATATTCTAGAATTCCTGTAGATCTTCTTTATTACCTATGTAAATATGGTAGGATTAATCCTGAGGATGTTTGTTAGATTTTCAGGAAGGTTGAAACCTCTTAAATGCTCTGGGGTAGAAGTTAACTTAGTTCTTGAAGGAAGTTTCATGAGATCAAATCAAGTTTCATGATGGTTGTCTTATCTGAAACTGTTTGAAGAAGGCTTTGACATAAGCACATATTAAAGGGATAGCATTTCTTCTTTACTGCCATTGGTCCATGGATTTAAACATACATGTTCTTGTTTGAGTGTGTCTCCTGTAAAAGAAGTGGAAGTTTTCTGTGATAAAGGGACCAATCCACAGGGATAACACACTGCTTGCATGTGTTATCTGCGTAATGTGCGCTTCATTCACTTTTTGGATTTTTTTTGAAATAAGGTGAGTCATTTGCAGCCCACTTTATACATTCTGCTGCCTGATCTCTATGAAATACATCAATTCCTATAGGTAAATGTAGTTTTTTGCATCAAGAATTGAATCCGAGTATTCTATAACAGATCCTCATTAAAGTCTCTTTCTAGATCTTTTCTAACTTTTACAACTTTTGTTTCATGCGGGTATGAGCATTACGAGAAACTTATCTCAGTGGAGTGCTTTGATGTCTCATGACAGTAATCCAGAATATTTGATTTGTTTTTTTCACTCATTTATCTCTTCCCAAAGACAGAAGGATTGTCAGAATTCTTATACTCCACCTTTTTATTTCTTTTCCCTTTTACTCTACTTTTTTATTTCTTATACCTTTTGCTATGGCTGTTTACATGTCTGTACTTAGAAATGGTATAGTCTTTTTTTTCTGTGAGGTATCAGAGAAAAATGCTCGTTCTGATACCTTTTCATTGCCTATGTAAGTCTTATTCCATGTATTCATCAGTGACCCGGATGAAGGGACCGAGTGCACCCTCAGCAAGTTTACTGCCGATACGAAGCTGGGAGGAGTGGCTGACACACCAGAGGGCTGTGCTGCCATTCAGCGAGACCTGGACAGGCTGGAGAGCTGAGCAGAGAGGAACCTAATGAGGTTCAACAAGGGCAAGTGTAGGGTCCTGCACTTGGGGAGGAATAACCCCATGTACCAGTACAGGCTGGGGGTTGACCTGCTGGAGAGCAGCTCTGTGGAGAGGGACCTGGGAGTTGTGGTAGATGACAAGTTGACCGTGAGCCAGCAACGTGCCCTTGTGGCCAAGAAGGCAAATGGTATCCTGGGGTGTGTCAAGAAGAGTGGGACCAGCGTGTCTAGGGAGGTTCTCGTCCCCCTCTGCTCTGCCCTGGTGAGGCCACACCTGGAGTGCTGGGTCCAGTTCTGGGCCCCCCAGTTCAAGAGGGACAGGGAACTACTGGAGAGAGTCCAGTGGAGGGCTACGAAGATGATGAGGGGACTGGAGCATCTTTCCTATGAGGAAAGGCTGAGAGACCTGGGGCTCTTTAGCCTGGATAAGACTGAGAGGGGACCTTATCAACACTTACAAGTATTGAAAAGGCAGGTGTCAAGAGGATGGGGCCAGGCTCTTTTCAGTGGTGCTCAGTGACAGGACAAGGGGCAACAGGCACAAGCTGGAGCACAGGAAGTTCCACCTCAACATGAGGAAAATCCTCTTTACTTTGAGGGTGACAGAGCATGGAACAGGCTGCCCAGGGCGGTTGTGGAGTCTCCTTCTCTGGAGATACTCAAAACCTGCCTGGATGCAGTCCTGTGCAACCTGCTGTAGGTGAACCCGTTTTAGCAGGGGAGTTGAACTCGATTTCCAGAGGTCCCTTCCAACCCCTGCCATTCTGTGATTCTGTAAGGAAGCTAAGGCAACCTTCCAAAAGGTGGTTTTTCTTCCAAAAGTTGGTGGTCAGCATTTAATCTTCTAGTTGAGAGATGTGTTCCTATTTGATGAAGGTAAAGCCTGAGCTTTTTGGAGTATGTGTGGTTGCTCACTTGCAGCTACATGAAAACAAAGAAAAGCGTATTTAGTCACTGCTAAATCTTATTTTGGAATTTCTGCTTCTGATGTTGAAGATAAGCCTGGTTTTGGTTTTGTTCCTGGTTTTTGCCTTCAGTTGTTACGGTCTTGTTATCTCAGTTCTCTTTACTGTAGTATGGAAGTCTTGTCCAGACATTTGATCTTGGAAACTTCGAGGAAGGTAGAAGGGCATCTGTTTTTTACAACTAGTGTCCATTGTTGCATGTTATTCAAAGGGTGATGTTCTAGATAGTTCTAATTTTTGTTACTCTGTCTTAACATTGTCTTTTCGGTTTAGGTGACTGAACACTTCATATGTCTTCATACAGCAATGTATTAACAGCTGGTATTAAACAAACAGCAGAAATCTTAAGGTGTTTAAGGTTCTTATGTTCAGCAGCTAAGCACTTATGTGAAACAGATGCTGACTGCGTAGTGTCCTCTTCGTTTGTTTGAAGCTGAGCCCTTTGTTTGAGGGTGAAGATGGTGCTAGTTTTTACTGTGCTCGTTGCCTTCTGGAGCTACTAGTGAAGCCAGGTTTTACTACTTCATTTCTGTAATGATTGTAAATTTTCAGGCAAAGTGTATAGAAAACAGTCTCTCTTCTTTTGTCTCTTCCTGGTCTGGTTATCTCTTCATCAGTGTTTAGGATTAGGGACATGGAGCAAAGTTTGCAGTGCTCTTTTTGCAGAAATTTTTTTTGAAGTACATGATTCTGAAATAAAAATAATTAAAAAAATTTCTAATTTCTGATTTTTTTTATTGTGTTTTTTTCCTAAGCCAGGCTACCTTCCTAATGAAAAATAAGGTTTTTATCCAATTTAATGAATGTTAACTGTTTGGTTTAAAAGTGTTGTATTTGATCCTGAATGAGTGAGAATATATATAGCTTTCTAATCAAACATAGGCCTAATTGAGTTTCTTAAAAAGGTTTTGCTTTATTTACTGACGAAGTTGAACTGCCCGTTCTCTTAAGCTTCTATTTTGGTGTACCAATACTCCCTTCCTGTTTATTAGAAATAAAAAAAAATTGCCGTTTTTTTCCCCAAAAACTTCATCCATAAAATAATGTGTGTAATTTAGGTTACTGTGAAGATGTGCCATGCACTAGTCCGTATTCTTTCAGAGTGTACTCTTACCAGCATAAATGGATATATCTCTCTGTGTTAGGCAACTCAGCTGAGTAATGGTATAGAAAGAAATTACTGATTTGATGATTTTCTGTTATGATGCAGCGTTCTCTGGTGAGAACTAAGGATGAAATTACATACGATGATCATAAAGGAGAGTGGGGGAAGACTGGAAAAATAAGACAGATGGTAGGATTTGTTGTTCAGAAGATTCTAACACAGTTTTGCTGAAAAAATTTTGGAATGCTGAATGCTGAGGTTTGTTCTCAAGACAGATAATAAAGGTGCAAAGGCAATAGGAAGGTTTTTCTTTGGTTCTAAGAGATTCCAGCCTGGAGACACCGTGTCTGAAGCCACCATTTATTCAGTGTGTTTATTCAGTCATTTGCTGTTGTAATGCTGTCAAAACAGAATGTGAAGTTCTGGTGTCTGTTGTGACGTAGATACTTATTCAGGCCTAAATCAAGATTTTTCGGGCCATTCTGGAGGTCAACTAATAATTTACAGTTGTTTTTTAGAATAAGTGTGTGTTATACTTTAGTTCGCTATCTTGTAAATGCAGGCTGAGAAACTACTGGTGAGATGCCAAATACTAAGCCTGGTCAGATTTAAAAGAATTATTCTGGATGTGAGCAGCGCTTTTTCTTCATACTGAGTTTGAAAATACTAACAACATATTATAGGGTTTAGTAACGTTCTCTGTTTTATGTACTAAAATATATTGTCATAAGTTCGTGTTATATTTTTGTAATCTACCGAAGGCCTTTTTCACAAGCATAGAGGATCAACATGTTGGGTAGTCATCTTTGAAACTCTGTTTAAGACAAAATGTGTTAAGAGCTTGGCAAGAGCAAAGCAGTTAATATCAGGGATCCTTGAGTCTCAGTTCGTTGCGCAGGAAAAGAGGGATGAGAACTGTCCTCCCCACTGCTATTCCTTCTTAAGCTTCATGACCAAAGTCATAAATTCACATTCTTAGGCCAGCTAAATTAATTGTCTAGGTGAGAGTTTGAGAACAAAGAACTTTAAATAGGATTGGTTAAATAAAGCATGCGTATTTTGCCTTAATTTGGAAGTAAAGAGCAGAAGAAGAGAGAGTAGGAGTCAAACATCATACAATCCAAGTTGAATTGAAAATATGAACCCCTGGAGAAGACAGTGACAGTTGTTAGGTAGTATCTG